TCTTAGAAAATAATTGGAGGAATCGAATCCTTTTTGCTCTGTATGTACAGTACCAGTTAGAAGTTTGGACATTGGATTGCTTATATATTTTTAATTTGTCTGAAAATGAAGTCATATAGTTGGAATTTTTTTTTCTAAGGACAATATGTAAATGAATTTAATGTGCATGTATGAATTTATATCTAAATGAAAATGTATTTTTAATAAGTAGTTTTTACTTAAAATTAAATTGTTTCCCCAAACAACTAGTTTTCCTTTAGAAGTAGTGAGCAGCTCAGCCTCTTTGGGGAAACGCTCCCCATGATGCTGGTTAATAAGATGTGCAACACTTCCTCAGGAATACTGTTAAGAATTTAAAACCTAAAATAGTTGTGATTTGTGCAGTAACACTGGTTACCGCATAATTCCGTTTGTGTAATTTCATAGTGTTAATGTCTTCATTATTATTCTAAAATAGTACAAAAAAAAATGAATCTGCATTAAATCTCTATCAGACTACTAAATAGAAACATGAACGTAATTAAAGTGTTGGGAAGGGTTACACAGTGAATTAATCACTAGCTTCCATTATTTACTTTACTTATTGATTACATGGGAGATTTTCTGCATCTGGCTGTAAGGCTGTAAGACTGTAATGGAGTGCAATGAATTACAGGCTATTTAGAGAATGAAGCCCAGGAGCAGTTGCGTAGATGATGGCCTAAAGAACATTACACTGGCCTAATACCTTCACTTACAGATTTCATGTCACAAAACCAATAGAGACGTTTTCAGATCAGTCAATTTTAGTGTATGTAAAAGATGAGATTGTCAAAGCATATGTTTGTAAGTGGCACTTACGCTCCATCTCCGAACACCCTGATGGAGTTGACGCAGGGCCTGCCATAGCCACAGCTCTGCAGGAAGGGACAGTCGTCACACAGCTCCATACAGTGACCTGAGTAGTTGCTTCCATCATACAGCTCGATCCTGTAGTGCTCTCCATGCTGTGGAGCAGGAACAATGTGTTATAATGGTAATCCTTCTTTAAATGCATTGTGCCATCTGAATTCTTGTAAAAGGACATGGATGTACAAACTAGTTTTATTTTTAATCAAGATTTCAAGTCAAAGTCAGAAATCGCCTTTTTTATTTATTTTCCATGATGTGAAAGGAGTAATTTGAATTGAATTGAATTGAATGTGATATTCGCTCAGTCCAAATTGCAGCATCACTTTAACTTTGGGATTTGTACTGTGTAAAATAGTTGTGTGTGTGATAGTCGGTGTGGTGGAGTTCTCACCATCCTGACAGGCTTGCAGGAACCCATGTGGTCATTGTGGGAGTTCCAGCGCTGGAACTCTGGGTACTCTCCACGCTCCAGGATGTACTGCTGGCCCTTAAAGTCGGGGTGGTCGTAGCAGATCCAAGCCCCGCTCTCCACACGGATGGAGTTCACCCTGTTCATGAAGCCACGGTCCTGGAAGTTATCGCAGTCTCCGTACACCTCCAGCTTCCTGCCAGTGAAGCATCTTCCCTCGTAAAACACTATCTGAAGGGAAGGAGCAGCAGGTAGGGTGGGTTTAAGTATCAGGTTTAACAATCAGAAGTGGACAGAAAAATGTAAATATCCTTTATAGTGTATTTGGTCAGATCTTAGAGTCTATCCTACTATGCAGCCATTTTGCAGCAGCATGTAACAGCCTGATAACTGAGCACATTGGACATGGCACTGTGACACTTTGACATTAGCCAAAGTTTTTTATTTGTTGTTGTTTTTTTTTTGAGTTATTTAATTGAATTTGCAAATGTGCAGAATGCAATTATATTGCTGTCGCACCGGAAAAACGTGCTCTAGGTTCCAAAAGGCTTGTCACGGCAATCAAAAACTCATATTTCAAATCTTGTTAGTCTCCTTAATAAAATCATTAGAAACTATCGGCGGAACACAACAGAAAATCAGCTGTTATTCAGTTCGTCTGAGACGATATTCAATTTTACAATAATGATGTCACACGTTAAAAGTGTCAATCATTTCAGGAACCATTCAGCCAACTCCAGATTCCCAGATTCACAGCAGTCAGTGCAGTAGGATGCTGTGTGAGACTGCATTCTGATGACATGTGATGATGTATGTGCTCCTGATTGGCCTGGATGCTTACCTTTCCAGAATACTGTGACATTTTTCCACTGGAGAGTGTCCAACCTGACCCACACGTAAGAAAGTGTGACAGTGGAAAAATTTGGACACTCCAATATATACGGGTCGTCGTGTGTCTCGCTGTATCGCGATGTTTGCCCAACAAAGGCTCCACAATGGAGAGCTTACGGCTTTTGCTTGGTGGACATTTTCTGTTCACTCTTAGCACTGCTGATTCTGGGATTTGGCTCAGCGCAGATCAACAATAGATTTTGCTTCGCTTGACGTTGTGCCATTTGCGCAGGCCACACTTCTCTTTACAGCACTCACTGCAGAGTGTAAGGATGCCGTATCCTATATGCTACTGCTTGCGGTTTGACCTTTGTGAAGTGCTTCTGTTCCCTGTATAACCTTGGAAACCAGGATGTTAAAGAAGTGTTAACAAAAGGAGAAACAGAAAAGCTCTAATTTTACCTTGACCTTTCTGCTCGCTTCGACTTTGTTCTGCTTCTATTGCAGTCATACCCTGTACAGGTGCAGGAACTCATAGATGCTGTGTATTTGGAGAAGTTTATTTATTTATTTATTAAAAGGAAATGGTCACAGATCATTCATTTTAGAATTAGTATTATTCAGCACAAATTAATATTGTGATATTCAATAAATTGATCTCTTGTCTGTATGTGTGTGTGTGTGTGTGTATCTATCTATCGATAGATAGATAGATAGATAGATAGATAATCATTAAAATATGAGACCTAAATGTGGATTTTGAATTTGCATCATTTAATGTCATAATTGAAAATGTGATCTATGATATAATGTGTAAGATTTATTATTATTATTTACTCATTAGTATTTGTGGTATAGGCTAGTACAGGTGATATAAACGTAATTCATTCATTCATCTTCAGTAACTGCTTTATCCAGGTTAGGGTTGCGGTGGATCCGGAGCCCGGGCATGAGGTGGAACTACACCCTGGATGCGACGCAGGGTACCATGCACACACTCATCATAAATAAATGCTAGTAGGTATCCTAGTATAGCATTGTGGTACGAAACTACACCACTGCAGTGTGTGTATGTGTGGGGTGGGGTGGACAGGACTCCCTTGCACTCTGCGTGAACACTAGCTGCTGTGCACTGCAGTGTCTTATTGAATTACACATGCTTAAAGTGAAAAAGCGAGCGTGCCATATCAGGGCCGCGGAATCTGCTCCAACAGATTTTTTTTGTGTGTTTGACTACAGTACTCAAACATTTATTTATAAATGGTATGGGTGATGGTTTTTAAAGATGGTATGGTACAAAATCCTATTAAATCAGAATCTAACCGAAAATATTTCACACAGAAACAGATGTCTACATTTATAATCAGTGAAGAACAATGAGCGTTTCAGTGCCTCCACAATGTCAAATCTAACTACAGTGTGTGTTCTGATGATTCCTGCACCTTTCTAACATCACAGTCACTTTAGCACCTTATATAATCAAACACATCATCGCTTAATGCGTCTCAGCATCCCATTCTATTATCAGACCACTGAAAAAAGTCTCATTCTATTATATTGTATGCTATTAGATTATAGAACAGTACATGTACATTAAATTTAAGGTTTATTGACTAAAATCTGTAAAATTGTTTATGAATGACCAGCACAGTGACGAACTCGAGGTGTAGTGAAACAAAATGCTGCATTTAATGATTACAATCAAAAAAAGTTAAACATCATCCATTACAGAGGAGAATGAATGCTGGAAACTTTATTGGCCATTATTACTGTTTAAGAAATACAATATACAAATTGATAATGGTTTGGGAGGAAAGAGGAAGGTAGAAAAGAGATGAGGGGAGATGAGCGGTGTGAAAGTAAGGCTCAGTATTTCATAGGGGTTTGCTTGTAGTGGAGAAGAAGGGATGGCTGGAGGGAGAGAGAACAGTAAGCGGAGAGAGAGCGAAGAAGAAGAGAGGAGGGCAGCTGAAGAGTCAGTGTATCTTCCAAAAGAATATATATTTTTTTAAAAATACACAACAAAAATTAAAATGAAATGAAGTATAAAAAAGGAGGTTAAAAAGAAAAGTCAACATTTCTATGGAGGAAAACAGGCAGTTAGCCACTTCAAGTAGAGGGATTTCCCAGTGTCCAGTGTTGTGGGGAGTTTGGGTAGGGTAGTGGACTCCAAACAGACCTTTCTGGTGAACATTTATCATTAGCTGTGCTTAACTCTAACTGATAAACCCAATCCAAACCCTTAATCTGAACCATGGACACCTCATCCTGACCCAAGCCAAAAATTCAAGTATTCCCTTAACTAAAAGGACTGATTGAAAGTGTTCTCCAGAAAGGTCCGTGTGTGTCCTCCAGTGGTCAGGACAGGCAGGGAGTGCGAATCTACATCAGGGAGCAGGGTGTCCGGCCCTGAGGGGCTCCGCCATCCATCTTCTCAGCCTCCAGGATTATCCTCTTGAACACCTCCACTGCAGTCTGATGAGAGGGACCGAGAGAGAAGCAGTCAGCCATGGCTTTACATAATCAAAACAAAAAATAAGATTCTCCTAAAGAGAACAAATAAATGAGATTACACTAATGAAGATTACACAAAATAATTAGATATTTTTTAATGGACACAAAATGCGATGTGCCGTGTATCTGGAGAGGAGTAACAGTCCTGCTTCACTCCAGCCAAGTTAGAACCAATAAAGGCTAAAAATTCTTCTTCTTGTTCTCCTTCTTTAGGGGTCCCATTAGGGGTCACCACAGCGGATCACGGGTCCGCATATTTGATCTGGAACAGTTTTTACACCAGGTGCCCTTCCTGATGCAACCCTCCCCAGTTTTATCCGGGCTTGAGGCCGGCACTGGAAGTGCATTGTCGTGGTCCCCTGGCCAGGAATCGAACCTGGCCCTCAGTGGTGAGAGAGCCGTGGCCTAACCACTAGTCCTTCAGGGACCCAAAGTGTTAAAAATTCATGAAAAAGCCCAAAATACGTCATCAAATGTATTCCAAGAACTTCAACAGTGTATGATGCAGTTTCACTATAGGAAAAATCTAATTAAAGGCATATTAATTTAATGCTTCCCCTTCAGACGTTAGAGCTTTCTCCCCGAGGAAGGCTCATGGAAAAAAAAAATCTTGCAAATTATGACCTTCAATTACTAATCATCCCTGTAAAGAAAGGGGATTTTGTGTGTGTTCGTTTAATCTCAAAAGGGTACCAATTAACCAACAACAAAAACCAAAAAAAGACTTTATTAAATAGGCCATAAATAAACTGTAGTGATTTTGGTCTGACTCATGGATGGCCAGCTCGGAGAGAAAGCAGCCATGTCCCTCATCTTGGCGTTGGATGGAAACTGGGGCTCTGATATTCAATTAGGAGCCTCCACACTGTCTCTCTCTCTCTCTCTCTGTGGAGTTACTGGATCTCCAGGGAGATGCTGCTCCTCGGAATGATGCCTGTGTGGACAGGAGGAGAGCACTACAGATGACCGCCTCTCTGCTGACGTGTTTGAGCTTTTGAAATGCCACAGGCCCAAACGGCAAACTGAGATTAAGGCACTGTCAATCTTGAAAGATCCTGGAAAGACGTCAGGGGAACAGTCATAATGAAAACAGACCAAACTGTAAGCCTCCTCAAAATCACAGGATATTATCAGTATAAAATCTGAACACCAGGGAAGGCAAATTCCTTTAAGAGCAAATATTACTTATTCATATGCATAAGAATATTACTTGTACTGCCGCAAATATGGAATCTGTCTCCTTTGATCTTCTAGGAAGGCTTACCAATAGATTTTCGAGCGTGGCTGTGGGGATTTGTGCATTCAGGCACAAGAGCATTAGTGAGGTCAGGCACTGATTGAGGAGGCCTGGTGTGCTGTCAGCTTTCCAGTTCATCCTAAAGGTCTTCAGGGGGGTTGAGGTCAGGGCTCTGTGCAGGATACTCAAGTTCTTCCGCTCCAACCTTGGCAAACCATGTCTTTATGGACCTTGATTTGTGCACAGGGGCATTGTCATGCTGGAACAGGTCTGGGCCCTTTAATTCCAGTGAAGGGAAACTGTAATGCTACAGCATACAAATACATTCTAGACAATTCTATGCTTTCAACTTTGTGGCAACAGTTTGGGGAAGGCGCTAATATGGGTGTTATGGTCAAGTGTGCACATACTTTTGCCCATATAGTGTACTTTTAGGGTTCTGATTGCTTTTTATTTATTTACTTACCCAGAGTGAGATTTTCATCAGATTTAACCACAAAGGTTAGCTTGTCTGGTCTGAAGAGCTACTGCAGCACAAACTGCTGAAAAAGTTAATGCTGGCTATGATAGAATGGAGTCAGAACACACTGCATCGCAGCTTGCTGCGTATTGGGCTACGAAGCCGCAGACCGGTCAGATTGCCCATGCTGACCCCTGTCCTCTGCCGAAAGCACCTACAATGTGCACGTGAGCATCAGAAGTGGACCATGGAGCAAAGGAAGGAGGTGGCCTGGTCTGATGAGTCACGTATTCTTTTACATCATGTGGCCGGCTGGGTGTGTGTACATAGCTAAACATTGTTGCAGACCAAGTACACTCCTTCATGGCAACGGTATTCCCTAATGGCAGTGGCCTCTTTCAGCAGCATAATGCACCCTGCCACACTACAAAAATTGTTCAGGAATAGTTTGAGGAACATTACAAAGAGTTCAAGGTGTTGACTTGGCTTCCATATTCCCCAGATCTCAATCCGATCAAGCATCCGTGGGATGTGCTGGACAAACAAGTGGAAGTCCCACCTCACAACTTACAGGACTTAAAGGATCTGCTGCTAACATCTTGGTGCCAGATACCACAGCACACTTTCAGAGGTCTAGTGGAGTCCATGCCTCGATGGGTCAGAGCTGTTTTGGCAGCACACACCTACACAATATTAGGCAGGTGGTTTTAATGATTGGGCTGGTCGGTGTATAATTCTGAATATATAATAGTATTTGAACAGTGAAATATGTTCTGACAGCCATAACATGCTTATTAACTGCACAGATTCTGAAAGTAAAATAATATGAGTAACCTGAGCACTAATCAGCATTTCATGAGGGACTGAACTCACTCTGGTTGATAATCAGAAAAATCAGTAGTTCTTGCTTCCATTTGCTGGGCTCAATCCAATAGTGCTATTTGCTCAGCAATGAGTGTAGGGAAGTGTGTGTCTTTTGGTTATGACAGCAAAAGATCTCAGGCCTGAAAGTCAACGAACTTTTAACCTAACAGTGTAGGAATGAATACTTACAGGATACAGAAACCTTCAAACTGAGATAAAGTTTAAGTGAAACTTCTTCTAAAGATCTTTTAAAGAATCTGAATTCTGCCAGAGAGTGGTATCTGAGAAAAGCACTACATCACACAGAGAGAGGGAAATATAGCGCACGTGCGTTAAGATGGCTTGTTACCTGGTTCTCTTTTGCAGAGGACTCCATGAATGCTGCGTTCCATGATTCTGCCAATGCTTTGCCTTCTTCACAGCTGATAACACTAAGGGAGAAGAGTGTATTTACGGTTAAGAGAGTCAGTAATGAGCAAATGTGATGCAAGCTTTTCTTGATGAAAAGGCTCTGTCAGAAAGTCAGTTGTAATGTCACTGGGTGGTTGTAATGTCAGTCAGATGGTTTCTTCCAGTTCAAGTAGGTGGTTGTTGGCTGTATTTAGTGATGAAAGGTACCAGACTTGCGATATTAGAGATTGTACAATGAACTTTCATGTGCTACTTTGTTGTACTATATACTTGTATATGGTTAGATTGACAATAAAGCTCTCTAATCTATATACATAAAGCTGAGTCATACAGCAGACCAACAATAAAGAAGTCCATTTTCCCCCAAGTCCAGTCCAGTTTCTCTTCGGGGAAATATGTATTGATAAAGCCCGTCACACACAAGCCTAAATCTACTCTATTCTTTGGCTTCTTCACATGAAGCAAGTACAAACATTTTTATACTGACTTATATTTCTTTAAAAAGACTAACGTATTCTTCTAAATGAATCAGCATGGTTCAATGAGCTCTAAAACCACAGGAAACCTAAATTGTTTATTCCTACTTCCTACTAATTAGATCCTGTGAAGGATGCTAAATCAAGCATGCTCATCAGAATACTAATTATGGTCAGAGAAGTCTGAGATCAGTCTGATCAGCACAATCAAATGGAGTTTAAGCATTTCCGTCTATTTTTTATTCAATCTATGTTGGGTGCTTAATAAAACATTTAGGTTGTCACATAAATATTATACTATATACCCGGAAACTCACGTTAAAGTGGTTCCTTTTTGTGAAATGCATATATAAGGGGTAAACTGTAATATACTAAGAAAGAAGTAAGCAGCAAATGTTCTTCAACATCTCTATGCTATTACTATGAGTGTAGAAGCGGCTGCTGTTCATGGCCACTACACCTCCTCAGCTGGGAGGCTGGACTGCAGATTGGAGAGCAGATAAAGCTGAATGTACCAGTCTGTAGTGGAGAGTGCCTCTGCCTATTGACAGAACTCTAATGGAACTATTGATCCTGTTCGGCTTGTAGATAACACACGCACGCGCACACGCACACGTTTACACTACTGCTGATCTGCAGATGGAGCAAGAACACTAGTCAGCAGCATATTACAATTACCTTTTCTGCTGTACACCATTTCTAATAATAAAAAAAAAAATACCTACCTCAAGCCTGAAGTATACAATAAAAATCAATGGAATCAATCAATCGTGAGCAAATTTTCCACTACAAGATCAGAGTCTAAGCTCATCAGTATTTAGCCCTTGGACGGAGGACTGTTCTAGAGAGATTTCTAAAGATATGAGTATACCAACAGAGCAACACTTTGGCTTGTGTGACACTACAAACTCTGGGCAGTTTTGCTCCAAGCCAGTCTCATAGTGCCTCTGGGTTTCTCAGTCCATTTACAGCATCCTACACTACCCTGTCCTGTTCAGTCATGCTGAACTGTATCCATGTCCACACAGGAAGCAAATCAGAGGAGCAGCTGTCAGCTCTCCATGCCTTTTACTTCCCACTCTCCTCCAAGAACTTAAACATTACATACTCATTCAAATCGTTTCAATTTTTAAACAAGTATAGCTTTTAGATTTCTATGCATGTGTCAGTGTGCAGACAATTTCAAACCCTATGTTCAACTTAAAGTGCCTTTCACAGCATGTTGCCTTGAACTGCAGTAAGAAACCCCAGGCATTATGCAAATTGATCTAAATAGACCTCTCTCTATAACTGCCTTTTTCAGGACTCTGATCTCTGTATACCAAAATAACTTGAAATTCATTTTGAGCCCGTTTCACCAAATAAACCCTGGAATTCTTTTTGCACATCACCAAGTATTTATTTATTTATTTATTTATTTTTTTACAGCTGTATGTGTAATGAGCCCTGCATTGATATTATGCTAAAGTATGGATATAAATCCTGACAGTCAGGATTTTGAGTGCTGACTACATCACACCTGCCCTACTTTCCCCTAAATAAACCATCCTTAGAGATATGTGTTACACTAACAGCTTTACCCACCTCTGCCGTACAAGCACTGCACGTACTGTGTGCGTGCGAGTGTGTGAGAAAAAAGAAAATTCAAAGTATTGGCGCAGAATGTAAATTAGCCCTTACAGCTGACACTACTTAAACAGGAATCACAAGCAGTTGTGCTCAGGGCAAACCAGTGTGTGGTGCTTTACTGGAACGAGGTGTATGATCTTTAGGACAGCATAAAAGGAGAGGAAAAATTCTGGATGACTCAAACTTGGTAAAGCACAGCCTGTCTGCTTTAATGAGGGGGAAATTTTCACCCATGATTTCATATCCTGTGGAACAGCATGCAGCGCTAAAGCGACATCAATTCTGTTTCCTGTTTGTGGCCCAGTTGTAGTTCAGCTTTATGGAATGTTCAATAGCATGTCCCCTGAAGC